ATCTGGAGAGTAAAATTTTAAACTCAATAATTTGTTGTTCGGATTGAATTTTGCATCTTTAATTATTATTATTTATTACATAAAAAATTGTCAGAAATAATTAAAAATAATAAGTAATAATATGTTACTTACTTTGCCCATCTCTATATCGAACAATTTACAATTGCAACCTGCATCATAGGTTACAACCTCCGACATAGATTATTACCTCGTCATTCTTTGCGGCATTACGGTAAAACCGTAATTATTACGGCAAAGTTGCAACCACCGCTACGGAATTACAATATGACTGCGTCTCTAGTCATAGCGATAGCACAAAAAATTTGGCAATCATGTGTATTTTGTCTAATCAAATCTTGAGAGCAGGTGTAATGCGAAATCAAAATAATTAAAGTAAAATATTTAAAATTTAAAATTAGAGTTAGAGTAGGATTAGAGAAGAACTTAGTATATAATAAAATTTAGTAAAGAATCTTTTGAAAATTAGAGCGCAATAGGTAGTTTCATATTCAAAATTTTGAGTTACTAGTGATTTTTCAAGTATGATTTTATATTACCCCTAATCTAAAATTGAAATACCGTTTAAAGTGTAACGTGAAAATCACGATTTTTTCAAGAAATCGCTTGTAACTCAAAATTTTGCTTATGAAACTACCTTCTGCGTTCTAACAAAAAAAAATTACTTGGTTAGAAACGTTTTCGCTATTACACTTTGCTAACCATAACCCTAATGTAACCTTGGCCCTAACCTTAAACTAATGCGTCGTTGTTTTTTTAATGTTAAATTCTTATTGGTCGGTCATAGGGCTAGCGATGCACGATAACGTAGTTTGATAGACTTTATCAAGGATTACTTTATTTTTTGCAGATTACTATTTTAAGTTTAATATGAAACTTTTTGATGTCTTTAGACTATGCGTATGATTGGCCAATTAATATTGCGATGAATTCTGACTGATAATTTTGCTAATCTATTCTTGCAAAATATAATTCCACTATATGTATTATGTTTTTTTTTTCAGGCCCTGTTTTGCGATCAATTAACTGAGTCAAATTGCACGAACATGCTCATAAAAAACGATTAAATTATAGTCAACGTTAAAAGTTTTTTTTTTTATAACAACAGTTAAGATATCAAATCTAAAAAAAAAAATTAGATTTAAATTTATTTTATTTATTTTCATCTAATATTAATAAATCTTTCTTCATACTTTTAGCCCAAGTTTCCTGTAAAAATCAATAATAATAATAATTAATGTAATGATAACAAAAAAAATTAAAGAATAAAATACAGTAAAATAAAAGATGTTAATATTACCATTGTTCATATTGAATTTTTATTTTGCTTTGAGTATTGCCAGCTTGAGACGGATTTATAAGATCATATTGTGAATTTATATAATCTAATAAATAAATAATAATAATAATAATTATTAAATAGATTAAATATAAAATGATTATTTTTTTTATTTTTTTTTACGAAATCAAATACATAATAAAATTTACCTTCAACATCTTCTTTCTTCATTTTATTTTCCAAGTTTTGCACAAGAGCCATTGTAGGAATTAATCTACTAGTATAAACCGCATCTTTATGTCTATTAAATTCACCAGTTTCTAACATCCCATCATGATTCGTCTCTATTAATCCAATTCTCACATTTTCGGCATCTCTAAAATCTTTTAAAATTTCCAAATCAACTCTATTAGTCATAATATTGGTACATGTCAATGAGTACCACTTATCCAATATAGAATTTAATTCATTAGAAGTTGGTCGTTTTGCAGGATCAGAGTTCCAACATTTTTTCATTAAATTGATCCAACATTTAGGATATTTAACATTAATTAAAGAAGGACGAAGATTATCTGATACTATACATGAAATTAAAGAAAGTGTATGTGGAGTATCATTAAATGGTTGTTTTAGAGTTAATAATTCATACATTATCATTCCGAAAGAATAAATATCAGAAGCAGGAGTGTGTGGATTTCCATTTAATACTTCTGGAGCTATATATGGAATTACACCATATATATTTTCATTATTAATAATATTATAACTATCATCTCCATTACTATTACTACTTCTATCAATACTTGATGATTCATCATCAGTTTGTTTACTATTAACTAAACGACTTAATCCAAAATCAGAAATTAATGGATATTTTTTTCCCATTAATATATTACCACTATGAAAATCACCATGTATTAAACCAGCACTATGAATTGTATCAAGACCTTGAATAATTTTTAATAAAAAACTGATACGAGTTGGCCAATCTATATTTAAATTATTATTTCTTAGGTAATTTCGAAGGCCACCATTTTCAGCAAATGACATTACCATTATATATTCATCAGTTTTTGGATCCTTACTTATACCAAAACAATGAGCTACTTCGAAAGAGATTTTTAGACGAGTAATTGAGTGTAATGATTTTAACTAAGAATAAATTTGAATAAATATGATAGAGACTTAATATTTAAAAATAGTAAATTCAAAAGTTTGCAATATTTTCATGCATACCTCGTTCAAAAAATTTTCAGAAATAAATTCAGATTTTTTCAACCTTTTTAAAGCGACAGAATGTGCCCCTCTTCGTTTCCAATTATTTATATTCACATCCCAATTATAAATTTGACCTTCTTCCCAAATTGCATAAAATACTTCACCGAATCCACCTTGAGCCACAAATTTAATATTAGTAAACTTTTCGTAAGGTATCCATTCTATGATTTGTTCACTATATTCAGCTTGTAATTGAGATTCTTGAATTAATTGATCTAGAGAAGGATTATCACTAGTCCAATTTGGAAAGTTATCACGAAAATGAGAGGAATTACAATTTTGACACCAATTCCAATACGTAGTCAAAGTTGGTTTTCGACATTCAGAGCAGATTTTACCCTTAATTTTTTTTTGACGACGGAATCGACTGAATTTTTGTCCCATTTTTATTATTATTAAAAGTATTTTTTTAGTCACGTAGATATAGTAGTAGTAGTAGTAGTAGTAGTAAAAGTAAAACGGGTATTATCTTATGAGTCTTGTTTTAATAATAATAATATTATTAAAATACTTTTTTTCTCGCAAGTGTTACTATGTTTGACAATCTAAATACTTTAATCAATTTTAAAGTTTAGATCAACTGTAACAATTAAAATTGAGTTTTACTTAAAAGTTTGTTTTAGGAAAACAAATACATTAATTAAAAAAAAATTAAAATCTATATATTATAATTATTCTAGACGCTATCAAAGCTGTCTTTTAAAAAGTTCTTCATAAATTGTCAAAATTATGAATAAAAACGGAAGAGAAGTCAGATTATATCTTAATATAAACGATGATGGGGTTTTTTTGTTAATAATAATAATAATAATAATAATAACGATAATAAAAAGAAATTGTTGTATATTTAGTGTTTGTACGCACAAAAGAATGAATAATAATATTTATTTGTAAGCCAAAAAAGTTCTATGCATTATTCAACTTTGTTTTTTACGACAAAAGATAGTATTACATTGAGTAATTGTTGCACAGCTGTTGTTTTCAATCCATTTACAGGGACCGTAGGACCGTAGGTGGTAAAAAAAAAAATGGTCAAATGTAGGGAGATACTGTTTTTGAAAGAAATTTTGTAAATCAAAGCAATTTTATATATTTTGTGTTCGTATGCACAATTATGTACAATGCATTAATTCAGTGCATATGGAATTAATTTACTTACTGATACATCTCCTAATCTGTGTCTCATGCTTTTATAAAGGTCTCGAGTAAAATGAATCAAATAGCAAATAGAATAATATATTTTTATACTGTATCTTTCTATTATATCATTAGTTATTATGACTTATAGAAATTACAGTATAAACGACATTAAAAAATTTAAATTTGTAAAAATGGTCCATTTTAATATGAGACACTTAGAGGCCTGCACGGCACGGCCCGCAAATTAGGGTTTACTATGTTCCTCTATGAGACACTCTCGTAACCCTTATTCAGAAATAGGAAATTTTTCACTAATATCAATAGATCGACAACACAATTAAAATAAAACCACATAATCAAATTCATTAACGTTAATTGAAATCTTTGTGTAATTCAAAACATGAATCAAGCTAAATTAAAACAATCATAACCATTATTGTAAAAATTTGACCATTCAAAGTTCTCCCTGATCTCGTTTTTCTATTCTGCATCAGGAAAAATTTAAATAATATACAATGCATGTTAACTGTAATAGTACTTTATAACACCTAATATA